ACAATGTGACTAATAAAATAACCAGAAATCAAATAACTGATGGATTAACAAAAAGGCTTAAACGTTTTCAAAAACGCATACAAAAAAAAAATTACAAAGCTGATGGACAAACAGAGAAACATAATAGAAGACCAAGATGGAATATTGCGTATGGCGGAAAATTTCTATAATACAACGAAAGAAGCAACAAAGAAAATAACAAAAAAAAACAAAATTCTAAATGTTGGGTCAGAAGAGGAAGAGATCCCTGATATAAAATTGCAAAAGCTCTAAGAAGTCAATTAAACAACGGAAAAGCCCCAGGAATAGGCTATATACTACCAGAAATGGTGAAGGAAGCATGAGAATACATTGTAAAACAACTGAAAACACTTTTCAATAAATGTCTAACAGAAAGAAAATACCACATGACTGGGAAACTCCCATCGGCGTTCTGATATACAAAAAAGAAGACACATCAAATCTTGAAAACTATAGACTCATAAGTCTTCTGTCTCAGACATACAAAAAGGAAATTCGATGATTACTAACCTAAACAACAAACAAGCTAAAGAAAGAGCTACAGCACTATTGAACATCTTCACACAATAAGAATACTAAATAAAAAGGGAAGACGACTGAATATAACATTACAACATGGCTAGCATTCATCGATTTTAGGAAGACCTTCAACACAATTGAATGCATGGAGAAACAAACAAACTAAATGAAGATTAAAAGAGGCGTAAGACGAGGCGATAAATATCAGCTAAGATATTCACCCTAGTCCTCAAAGATGTGTCCAAGGATTAAGGAACTACATTGAGAAAAAAAGAGTTATTATTAATATGTATGAAGAAAACCTCAATAATTTAGAAAGAATTACTTCAAGAAGCCAAAAAGATCGGATCAAAAATGAACATATCAAAAATAGAGTTTATTATTAAGGACATAATAACCATAGAAAACTAACAGCCAAAAAAAGTAAACTCCTCTAGGTTCATCAGGACCTTGAAATTAATAGGAGAATACGACTGGGATGGGTAAAAGGCGCCACATATTACCTTTGAAGCTGAAAACCAAAGTCTACAATGAATGTATTCTGCCAGTAGTTGCCTATGGAAGCGAAACATATGGAATCTCACAAAGAAAATCCTAAATAAGCTGCAAGTGCATCAGAGAGCAATAGAAAAGAAAATGATAGGCAATTACACTAAGGAATCATAAGACCAACACAAGCAAGAACTGGACCAGAAAAGTAACAAGATGGAGATTATTGGAGAACGAAGAAGCGTTGGTAGATTTCAACAAGATTGATACGACATCAAGCAAACAGCATAGAAATACCTAGCAAAATCTGAGAGAGGACTATATCCAGAGAATAGAGAAAAACTCTCAATCTCGCCATCGCCTCCTCAATCTCCGCAACATTTCAATACCAATTCTTCACAATTGCTGTGGTCAGGAAATTATAGGATTTCCGCAATATTGTACATTTTTTTTTGTTCAATTTGGTCGCCCTGTTCCAGTTCTAAAATACTCGCAGTGCCTATTACATATATTTTTTTGAATGTTCACATGCCCAATTCAATTTGAGTGTAACGAGTTTCAGTGTGAGATAAACTTCTCGAACCATCAGACCACATCCTAATACATAGGAAAATTGATCTGCACTCTTCCATTACACTTCCAAATCAATGATCTATTGATTCTTATTAGACCAAGATTAAGTTCCAATTACCAATTCCAAGAGTATGTAAATCCTAACTTTATATATTAAAAATTCCTACCACTATTGACAATTTTCTCCACAGGTACTAGATAACTTTTTTTTTTAAATGCACTCCTAAATCCTGGCTTAAAGCTCCAACCCCCGAGATACTTAACCTTTTTTTTTTAAATCCCTAGTGGTTTCTGGCAAAGCGCTATAGCAAACCGGCATCCGGAAAGTTTAAACAGTCATTTATTTAGGTCAAAAATCGTCGGAAAACTTTCCTAAAAGGTAGTTTTAACGGGCGGTGGTAATCTGAACTTAGAAGCCATAGAGCATCTGTCTGTATACACACACAAAAAAAAGGCAGCTAGTAAAACGAACAGGGCTTTTGCTTTTTCGATTAAGTGGTATTAAATCCTTGAGCCGAGGGGTGAAATCTGATGCTGAAATGCAGGTGGTTGATACTTATTTTTTTGCTGTCTGGGTTCCATAAGCGGTGACCCAATGTGAGAGAATAATCTTGTGGTTTGCTCCTTTTGGGTAGAGTAAAACACAATAATGCTAATTTGATAGAAGGACATGTTTAATCCCGTGCATAATGTATATGGATAACGGTTTAATTCAGATCACCCGAGGGATCAAACGTCCAATTACTATAAACTGGAGCCAGAGCAATCAATTTACGGTTATATTGTCAAGGATTAATCGGGCAGAACAATGAATATTTTATCTGTGTATTGAGACATGAGTTGTTAATACTTTAGAGACGTTTTACGTCCCCTTAATTACGGTAGTGATTGATGATTTTGGAAAAAGAAATTGTCCCAAAATCAATCGGAGTTTCAGTGGATTCTTTGAATTTCAATTAATTATTTTCAATGAGGATTGGATGCTCTACATGTTGAAGAACATTCTACTCTACATCTTATATGATATGAAAGAAAGTCTTGTGACCTTATTACTTTTGTATCAGTGTGTCAAATATACTTTTCATATTTTCTTCTTAATTTGAATCATAAGAGTTTAAACTTAAAAATGATAGCAGGGCATGCTTATAGAGGCGAGAAAAATTAAGAATACCAAGGGCTGAATTCAAGGGGTAAACCACCATCCCAGAATTTATGCATTTCTTAAAAGGGAATTTTACGCATAATTCGTCAAATATCCTGCAAATTCCTCCAAAATAATAAAAAATCAACTTACAAAAATTGAAATAATTGTTAATACAGACTCACACAATTCAAAGTTTTCCCGGAAAACTAACTAAGGGAAAATTTTGAAACTTTTTGCATGTAAAGAGGCAGGTGAGAAGCTCATTTTTCCAAAATGTCAAATTTTTCCAGTGGAAAATAACAACATGAAGAATCTTGTAAATCAACCTATAATAACTGAATTAATTAAAAATACTGTCTCACACAATTCAAAGTTTTCTTAGAAAACTGATGAAGGGAAAATTTTTAAACTTTTTGCATGTAAAGAGAAAGGGGAGAAGCTCATTTTTCCAAAATTTCAAATTTTTCTAGTGGAAAATAACAACATGAAAAATCTTGGAAATCAACTTATATAAACTGAAATAATTGTTAATACAGTATCACATAACTCAAAGTTTTTCTGAAAAACTCTTGAGGAAAAATTTCGAAACTTTTTACACGTGAAAAGGAAGGTCAGAGGCTCATTTTCTCAAAATTTGGAATGAGGAATCTTGGAAATCAACCTCCAATAACTGAATGAATTATTGAAAATACAGTTTTACACATTTCAAAATTTTCCTGGAAAACTAGTGAAGCCGAAAATTTGAAATTTTTTACATGTAAAGAGGAAGGTGAGAAGCTCATTTTCCCAAAATTTCAAATTTTTCCAATGGAAAATAACAACATGAAAAATCTTGGAAATCAACTTAGAATAGCTGAATTAGTTGAAAATACAGTCTCACACATTTCAAAGTTTTCCTGGAAAACTAGGGAAAATTTTGAAACTTTTTGCATGTAAAGAGGAAACTGAGAAGCTCATTTTCCCAAATTTCAAGTTTTTCCAGTGGAAAATAACAAAATGAAAAATCTTGGAAATCAACCTACAATACATAATTGAATTAGTTGGAAATACAGTCTCACACATTTCAAAGTTTTCCTGGAAAACTAGTGAAGGCAAAATTTTGAAACTTTTTGCATGTAAAGAGGAAGGTGAGAAGCTCATTTTCCCAAAATTTCAAATTTTTCCAATGGAAAATAACAACATGAAAAATCTTAGAAATCAACCTACAATAACTGAATTAATTGAAAATACAGTCTCACACATTTCATATTTTCCTGGAAAACTAGTGAAGGAAAAATTTTGAAACTTTTTGCATGTAAAGAGGAAGATGAGAAGCTCATTTTCCCAAAATTTCAATTTTTTCCAGTGGATTTTTCTAAATTTGGACCAGTAAAATCATAAAGTGGAATTTTGAAATAATTTTTTTAACAAAAGTGAATGTTCAACGTCTACGACATAACTAGATTTTTTTTTAATTTCCATTTATTACTATTTGTTATAATAAGAATGTGAACCTCAGTGACGTCATGACCCTACAATTTCCTTTAAATTTCTCATAATTTCCTCACAAATTCTTCCAAATTCCCCATAAATTTCTCCAAATTTCCTATAAATTCTTCAAATTCTCATAAATTCCGATGAGTTCCTTCAAATTTCTCAGTAATTCCTCTAAATTTCAAACAAATTCCCCACAAGAGTACTCATTTAACTTTGAATTAGTAGAACAGATCCAAGAAAAGTTCACATAGGATTACCTACTCAAAGATAAAGCTGCACATTCTGCTAAGAGGTATTCCAAATACAATTGATATTTTTGAAGGAAAGCTAATTGGTGTTCCCAGTTTTGAAAGAAAATGCGCCAGCAGTTGATAACTCTCTATAAGGAAAATCATTATTTCCTCCATAAAAAAATGTTGCAGATGTCCAAATTAAGCACCGCTCATCCATTAAATTTCTAATTACAGTTTTGCATTAAAACTTAACCGCATCATCAGTTGGTTAACTCGTAAATTTACCATAAAAATTCAAATTTTCCGAATGTTTTATGCATAAAACAATAGCGTCTGCTTGATGGGACAAATGCAAATCGCACCCCACTAAAAAAAAAAGGCACCTACATATTCATTTACGAGAATGGAAATCGGTGTTTCCCGTAATGGGACACAAATTGTTCCTCCGACAGTTTTAACCCTCCTGCATTTACAAAATCCCTTCCTTCTTATCGTGAAACGAACGGCAGGAAATCCTTCAGTCAGTTGCACAACGAGGGTAAACTCGGACATGTAAATACGTTTTGGTTCAAATGAATTCCTATTGAAACTTATTCAGATTTGAAATGTTTCTGGTATGTAACATGCAAAATATTACTTTATTTAGGGGTTTATATAGGACTTATATTTTATTTTTATGAACAAAATGTAATAGGTATGTCAACTTCAAATAGTGACATATAAGTCAAAATTTTTGTTTGTACGCACGATGCCCTCGGACATAATTTTAAGAAAAAATCGTAAAAAGCAACCGCTAAACGAAAAACTGCAAAAGTTTTTGGACATCAAAATCCAAATGGCAAAAGCGGATTTCCTCAGGTGTCTGGACCGCGAAATAACGACAATAGAGGACTTCGAAAATCAACAAGAACAGTTAGAAGCGATATTGAACTTATATTTGGGACCCTCAAAATTAAAAGAAGAAATCGATCGAGGATTTAGAGACTCAGAACCAGAAAAAGAGGAAACAATAAATGAACTCGAAAGAAAGGAGTTCAGTGTTTTGGTTCAAGACAACTTGACATGATAAAATAGTGCTTGTAATGGACTGTTTTGAAAATATTGGTCTGTAAAGTTTCAAACTCGGGTTTGGCCCGAAATAAATTTTAATTAAAACAAACGGTTGTCGTTCAAGTGGTGCGTAACCACTTCAAATTCGAGTGATTGCGAAATTTAATCGAAACGATTTAATTATAAATTAGAGTTGAGGCAGTCAACGAACCTCTTGAAGCTAAAATGGCTCATGAAAACTTCAAATTTCTTATTATGGTTTTTGTGGGTAAGTTTCATTGGTTTTTGTCGAGGGGTTTTTCACCTTGTTACTTAATCAGTGTACAAATCACTGGTTAATATATGCCAATACCAGGTAAATACTATGTCAATAGTGTCATTACTATGCAATACCTACTTGTTAATTATGTGGGTAATATATCTATGTCAATGCTTGTAGATATCTAGGCAATATATGTTAATGTCATTGGTGGATACCCATTTATAACATGTAAATACCTGTGGATATGTCAATATCTAGAATTCTGGCAAAAAAAATATTTGATTTTAGTCTGTCAATAGCATGGCAAAACCTGGTAATACGTGATAATACTAGGGAAATGCCTGGCAATATGTGGAAATATTTTGTTAATAGAGGGAAATAGTTGGCAATAACTTGTTATTAGATACATAGAAAATATCTCAGTACTTATGTACTGTTAAGCGGTGCACAAATTTTGTTAGGTGACTATTTCACTAGAGTGTTTTACACTGGCAAAATGTCATAGGAACGGCCGGTTTCCTACTGACAAAACTCCTTCCTGTTCCTACCTGGACAAAACCAACATGATGGTTTTTCAGCGACTATTTCACTAGACTACTAGAGTGTTTTACACTGGCAAAATGTCATAGGAACGGCCGGTTTCCTACTGACAAAACTTCTACCTGTTCCTACCTGGGCAAAACCATCATGATGGTTTTTCAGCGACAAAATTTTGTGTGGTTAAGGTAAAAAACTATTGAGTTTGACAAGTGTCACCAAAAGAAAATAAATTTTTCTTGTTTTTCTCGTGAAATAGTCCAGCCGAATACCACTACTCAAGAAAAAATTATGTAGGCAAAATTATTCTCATGGTTTTATTCAAGTTTGTTGCTTTTTGGTAATTTCGCTCATGAAATTTTTGAAAAAACCACTCGCCTGACGGCTCGTGGTTTTGTCAAAAATGTCAAGCAACAAACTTTCATACCAGTCGAAAATTTTGCCAGCAAATTTTTTTCTCCTGTGGTATTATAGGTATATGAAAAACCCCCCGACCTTTCCATTATTAACGTAATATAATACAACAATAGGTACTTGATTCATCGATACTCTTATAAATAAAAAGTCGAAAATTGCGAAAGTGAACATTTTCCCGATCATCAATACTCAATATTAATTGTATTGCAGAAATTCATTCATTTCGGAAAATGACTGCAAGGATTTAGGAGAATAATTCTTACTACAATTTGTAGAAGATTGTAAAAGTGATTACAAGATTTCAAGTAGAATTTCAGTGATTGCAAAAGTGATTCCGGGATTTCAGGATGAATATTTCAGTGACGATAACAGGGAATTTCAGACCAAATATACACCTATTGCTAGAGGGCCACCACATTTAAAATATATATACACATATATTGCAGAAATACTATAATTTCGTGAAATCTCGCAAAAGGCATTTTGCATATTTTATGTATAATGCGTCTTCTATCTTTGTGGTAGTTCTTATCCACTTGTTGATCTTGTGATCTCTTAGGCTCAGTTTCACAATTAGTGGTAAGTTGCACTGATGGTTATCAAACTAATAGTTGCGGGTTAACCGCGAGTTCGCAAACTAACGATTGACTTAAGTTTTCTGATGCTTGAATGATGTTTTTGGCTCAACCACACACTATGAAACAGATATATTGTAGGTTACCAGTGTCTTGTGGTCATGGATGTTTGTGAAACTGACCCTAAAGTGTAATACCTATCATTCTCCTTTTGACTTGCAATTTACTTAAGATTTTCTTTGTGAGAGTCCACGCTTCCATAGACAACTACTGGAAGAATACATTCGTTGTAAACTTTAGTTTTTAGCTTCAAAGGTAATATGTTGGACATTTTACCATACATCGTCGATTCCAGTCATATTCTATTAATTTCCAGATCTGGATTGACTTTGCCAAGCGTGATTTCCTGTTTTAGATACTTTGTAGGAGTTTACTTTTTTCACCTGGTTATTATGTCCCTATAATGTTTGCTTCTTTGTCATAAACTCGGATGTTCGAGACTCTGTTTTTTTATAATATGTTTATTTCTAGTCCAATCTTCTTAGCTTCTTGAAGTAATTCTTCCAGCATGATTTCTAAGTCTCGTTCGTTCGGGACGAATATTACTATATGCAGTGGTCTTTCCATTTCATTTAGTATTCTTATTGTGTGAAGATGTTCTATAGTGCTGCAGCTCTTTCTTGCTTGTTCTTTAGGATAGTAATCATCGCCTATAGAAAGGCAACTATAGGCGGTTTGTGATTATTCTTATAATCAGTTTGTATATCTGAGACAGGAGGTCTATAATTTTCAAGATATGATGGATTTCATTTTTTGTATATCAGAACGACAAAAGCAGTCTCCCAGTCGTGTGGTATTTTTCCCTCTGTTAGACATTTATTGAAAAGTGTTTTCAGTTGTTTTACAAGGTATTCTCCTGCCTATCAGGAATCTCCTTCTGACCCAACATTTAGAATTTTGGTTTCTTGTTTCTATTCTCTTTGTTACTTTTTGCGTCGTATAGAAAATTTCCACCACACGTAATATTACATCTCGGTTTTCTATAATGTTTGTCCATCAGCTTTGTAATTATGTGCGTTCTTCCTTTGAAAACGTTCAAGCCTTTTTGTTGTTCTATCAGTTTTTCGATCTATAATTCTTCTTGTTTTGTTATCCTTCTGTCTAAATTGTTAGCCTCTCTGTATTCTGGTGTATCTTTTTTTCCTTATTTTATGAGTTCTCTTCTCTTCAACAGCATTTGTTTTCTTTTCCCGAGTTTTTTCCTTTTGGTTTCATGGTATTATTTGCTGTTTCAACGATAAGTTTTCGTTATTCTTTTAATAATTTGACTACTTAAGTATGTCTTCATAGGGTTCTATGGGGGTTTTCTCCAGTTTTTGTGTTAATTTTGTTGCGAATTATATTCTTTGTGTTTTGCTGGTATGTGCTTAATTTCTTTCGAAAGCGGTTGAATTTCTGTGCTCTTTCAAATCTGCCATTTATGGCTATTTTACATCTCACCATTCTATGATCTGCCAGTCGTGAATGAGCCTATAAGGCGTCTATACGTCTTGAATTATGTGTTTTTGATGTGTCAGTATAAAGCGAGGTATAAAGTCTATTTCGTGTTTTGTCTTTCCACCGGACTTGGTACATCCATTCGAAAAGGGCGACCGCACATTCAATAAATAATTACAAATATTGCGGTAATCATACAGTTTCCTGACACAGCGATTTTGAAAAATTAACATTGAAATATTGAGGAGATTGAGGAGGTACCTAGTTAATAGGAAATTGCAAGTGAAATTTTGACGATTGCGAAATTACTGTTGGATTTCAGGATGACGATTTCAAGTGATTTCAAATCAAATGTACACTTATTGCTTATTGCGAGAACGCGACTACATTCAAAAAATATGTAGGTACATTTATTGCGGAAATCCTTTGATTTCCTAATGACTGCGGGGATTTCGGAAACATTTGAAATCGCAAGCTTCTACGTTAATAATTGGGCTTCTTTGTCATTGAAAACAAAACCTCTTTCGCTTTTGTATTTTAAAACATAAATTCTATTATTTTTGCTTTTGCTCTTGTTCTATCTTTTATCTTCTTGCATTTTCATTACACCTAATAGCGCCGCTGCAGCATAAATTTCCATTAATTTTAAAAAAGGCGCTATTTTACAGAATAATTTAATAGTACATAGTAGAAAAAGTGTACCTATCACAAATTAAAAAAGAAAAACACTATGATGAGATTTGTATAAATGGGTAAAGTTTTTATATAGAAGTTTGTGTGAAAACTGTTTTTCAACTAATCAACATTAAAGTTAAATAAGAAGTGTCTCAAATTCAATACTGATGCTTGATACACAAATAATATGCATTTTAATATTTTGTAAACAAAATTTACTGTGTGGGCTTTTGTAGGCATGGAAATTTGAACGCAATAATACTATTTACCCATATCTTTTAAGTATATCGATTCTAAGAAAGTAGTTAATCAATTTTCAAATATATAAACGAACAAACTTTACATGGTGATCAAAAAAATTGCTCCTCTTCATCTTCCAACTCAAAACTTCAAATACAAACCAACTTACCTTCTAATGCTGTTTCTTGACTTCCTTATAATATTTTTGCAGATTCAATTACACAAGAATAAATTATCCAAACACTAAAAACAAAGCATCGGGATGTCCGTAAATAAAAACACTGGAAAAAAAGCTCGCGCGAAAGCTTTCAATAGAATTTAACGTACGACGCGCACTATAAAAGCTCGCTCGATGAACTGGTTTGGTTCTCTTCAGAACTTTTCGTTCCGATTCGTTTTGCTCGCTTGTTTGGTCCAGCGCAACTACGTTACGTGACTCACTGTAGTGTTTCACGCAATGTTGCCACAATGTCGCGGAAGAACGATATTCACGTCTACTAGATAAGTTGTGAATAAAGAGAGAAACTAATAACATCGCCTCGTTTCATTGGTTTAAATCAGGGACTATAACTGTCTTTCTTTGTCTCACAAACCAACTCTCGTTTATTTTGTATTATCCCATCTCCTTCTCGTACCTCGATTGATTGATTAGAAAATCGAAAATAATAATGGAACGAATTTCAATGAGTTCAACTTTTCAATTGGTTGAAATAATGATTGTCTCGTTGGAACTCACCTCACGAAAACCTCGTTGGAACATTAAAAAAGGTTGTTAAAACGAAATAAAATACGTTTAAACAACTCTGTATGAAATCTCGATGGAATGACCAAAAGACATTGCATGAAAACATTTTTGGATATTCTGGAATGTGTTAAATTTCTTATCAATTTTGAATCAATTTGCAAGATTTCAAACTTTTGGAGCTGAATTATTCCTCGTTGGAATCGCCAAAATACCTACGTAATTCAACGAGTTTCAATGGAACAAGATTTGGATTATCTGAAGTGTATTGAATTTTGTTGCAACAATTTTTATCAATTGCAATTTGATAAGAACTCGTTTTAATATCAAAAATAGGTAATATTCACTACATCAATGAGTTTGAACAAAATTGAATCAAGTTTTTGATACTTTTTGACTCATTTGAAACATCAAAAACCTCATTAAAATCGAATAAAAACTTCCAGAAACAGCAATAATTCCGGATGAAACGAGCTTCGATGTATTGAATAGAAATAAATGAGATTTGGATCGAGTCATTAGATATCTACTTCGAAATATCAAAAAACCTCGTTAAAACTTAATAACAACAAAAAATCCCAACTCAACGAGTTTCAATAAATTTGTTCAATTATTGTAAACTTTCCGCAAACCTCGTTGAAAATTATGAAAAACTTGTTAAAACAGCGGAAACTCTCGATACCTACCCCAAGTTTCAATGAGTTTGGACAACATTGGAATTTGGAATCGATTTTAAAAAACTTTTGAGAAACGTTCAAGTGAGTTTCCAGAAAACATTGCAAATTATTAAAAACTCGTAGGATTATTAAAAATACTTAAGGCAAAGAGCTTAATCAGCATGCGTTGAAATTTTCGGATCACTTCACTTGATCCAACGAGTTTGGATGGGAACGGCTCGTTGGAACAAGGCCCAAATCAGCAAGGGGAGTAAAAGAAAAAATGTTGTTTTGACGGGAGAAAAGTTTTTTCCCCAGGGACAATTTTCCGCCCTTTTAACCTTGCGGTAATTAATTTTCGTTAATAAAGCTGGAAAATCGCCTTTTTTAAATTTGATTGTATTGGCTGTTTTGTTTTCTCTGTGGAGAGAAGATTGGTTTTTATCAGGCAACAAATAACGGTTTTATCAGCAACAAATAACGCTTCTAAATAAAAATAACGGTTTTAGACTTACCCGTGATTTGGGGGTGTGTTTTAGACCTATAGCAGGTTGACTTCGGTTACTCTACAAAAAAAAAAAAAAATATTTTAGTGTTCGTGTCTAGATAATTGTAGCATAGCTGCAAAAAATGTCTTGTTTCTAAATTTGCTGTCGAGTGTATATTTTTAGTAAAACCCTCGTAATAGACACTTTTAAAGTATTCGTCATTCGAGATAAAACTACAGAAACTGAGGAGAAAACGAGGAAATTTTAAAAATGGTCTGAAAGTCAATGGCTCTGAAATTGTCTGAAACTACCAAAAGTTCAAAAGTGTTTTCTCCCAGAAACTCTCCAGAACAAATACTGATGAAAAAATCATTGATCTACATCAGGAGTGAATTCCGAATGGAAAGCCCGCTCCGAAAGAATCAATTTGTTTATCAGTCAGGTAAATCAACTGAGACGAGCCCTGCACAGTCTTGTCACTAAGATTAAAAGGGCACGATCAAGTCAAGAAACTGCTATATACGCATTCATTGATTTAAAGGAAACTTCCGATAATTAGACCTCACATGAATCCATAAGAAGGGCTTTGACGAAACTACAATCTCATGGATTGAAGCCATGCTTTAGAATAGGAAAATCAAAGCAACTATTGGAAGTGACTCTGCAACGATCTCAGCATTCAAGGGATGTCTCCAAGAGGGTGTACTGTCTCCACTGTTGTGGTCAATGTTAGTAGATGAACTTCCCAACGCGTCAAGCACAAGAGATCACGGTCCTAGGATACGCAACAACCTCACATTCATCGTTAGGGGTAAACATGACAAAATCATTAGTGAGTGGTCTCATGCAAAATGCCCTTAATTAGATAATGTCTACAGGAGGGTTTAAACGTCATTCATCAACCTCAACAAAAGCATAATTGTACCTTTTACCAGGAAAAGAAGGCTAAATCTAAGAGCCCCAACCTTAAATGAAATACAAATCAACTTCGCCAGTAAGGTTGAATATCTGGGAGTCATCTTGGATCAGAAACTTACTTGGAACCAACGTCTTAAAAGAGAGTTGCCAACCCTTCAATAGCCGTCAATACTGGGACATGCCGGAGGTGATTCAGCAAGACTTGGGGCTTAAAGCTAAAAATGATCTATGGTTATAAGACCCATAGTTACTTATGCTGCAATGTATGCTGTACGGTGGCCAAAAGTAAAACAACAGACAGCGCAAAACCGATTGGCAATTGTAGATACAAAGGCCTGCATGTCTTGGAATTATAGAAGCAGTGAACACCTGTCCAACCGCCGGAGGTCATGCCCCTACTAGATATAATAGTGGGGAAAGAGGCCTACATAGGAGCCTCGAGAATAATGCAGTCCTTAAAACTGGAGGAAGGGGACTTTGTCGGCCACATGAGCAGTATAAAAGAATACATAAATGTTAAGACAAAACCAGTTGACCGTTGACCACATGCAACACAGGTACGAATTTGAACATTATCAAAGGTACAATGGCAACTGACACCCCAAAAAGAAACAGTGACAAGCGTACACCATAAGAGAAATGAAATTCCTGAAGCAGCCAAGCTTAAGGAGATTATTGAGGAAGTTCACAAAACTCGGAAAGGAATTAGAAAACAATATAGAGGGGGCAGTTAAAGAGATCGCGATTAAACTGAAAAAGACAAATAGAAAAGTTAAGTAAAGAGTAAAGGCATGGATAGAAAACCACCGATACGAGAATGCAGGCAAAACTATGAGCACATGTTAATTCTACAAGCGAAATTTATATAGGAAAATGCTCCCTTGCTAGATTTTGAAAAGATGAAAAACTACCAGAATTGGAAAGACCAATTGGAGCTTGAATGGACCAAAAATGTATACCTTAACACAGAAGTCAAGCAGAAAATACCATTAAATACAATGGACATCACAATCTAAGTAGTATTTGTGGGACCAGATGAGCACGACCGACATGTCCAAGGGCATCTTATACAAATTCAAAGAAAAGTATCCCGAGCTGACGGAGATTGAAAAATCTTTAGGTGTATTAGAAAAGACATATACAATAAAAACAGCCAAAGGAAAGCAAGTCATGTCAGAGAAGCTAATAAAAATCTACCTCAATGAAAAGGAAGTGGACATATTGAAAAAATAAAGGACCTGAAACTAGAAACAGTAAATGAGAACTGCATATGTGTAGCAGTGCATAACATACCAATAATAGGCCTGATGGAAAAGACCTACGCACTAATCATCGAGGATAGTGACGAAAAAGGACATCAGAGAAATGAGAAGCACCAAGGATGGCAAACCCTCAAGGACCACTGGAAAAAATGCGAAAACCCTAAAAATATTAAAAAACTCCTTGCACGACCCAACCAAACCTTCGATCCTATAGGCCTAGCACAACACATAAAAGGCCTAGATGTACTTGCAGAACAGAGACCTTAAGAGAATTATGATGTACAGGATTTGGACATCAAAAAATACAGATTGAGTAAACTTAAACCCATGGCAAATAATACCCAAGCCATAACCCTAACGATAAACAAGGATGACGCAGAGGAACTACCGGTGAGAAAAAACATAAGAATAGGACTAGTAAGCTGTTGCATGGAGATTATAGAGCGGGAAGCAGCCTCTGCAAAAGTTTCAGGAGAGCACTGTCTATCGCCAAAAAGTCAGAGAGGCAGGAAATAAACTGGGCCTGAAATTCAAAGAGTCAACCTTTAAATTTTTGCAACCTTAATAGGTGTCATGTTGCCCACGACCTGCTGCCGGTTACAACCAAGCAACTGTGAATCGACATATTGGTCGTTTCAGACAGAGCCCAACTTGAGGAAAGTACAAAAACCGGAATCTGGATGGCTATTGGATAGGAACAAGAACGCGACCACTAAGGTGGTAAATACAAGTATACCGCATACCCTTGTTGTAAACGAATGCCGTACCGGGATTTACGTGGATCTAAATTGACGCCATCGTTATTTATAGCTGGTACCTACCACCAAGCCGCCCGATAGAAAAATATGTACGTATACTAGAAGAAATTGGCATAAAGGTCGGCCCTGTGAAGTAGGCAGGCACACTTGAAGCAGAAAAGTTGAATTTTATGTAATCGTTTAGTGCTTCAATGTGCTTTAAATTAGCAACCCTTGAATTTTCGGAAATATTCCGGTTTTTAGAATTCGCCTGCTTAGTTCACACATAGCAGGAACATTGGAAACATCAACGTTTAGTATTTGTAGATAGATGGTTAGTGCTTCAATCCGCAAATTAGCAACCTTTATATTTTCAGAAATATTTCGGTTTTTAGAAATTGCCTGTTCACTTCACAACAGTAGGCAGGAACAAGGGAAGCACCAACGTTCAGTTATAGATGAATGGTTAGTGCTTCGATTCCCAAACTGCTAAACCCTTGATTTTCAGAGATATTCCGGTTTTTAGAAATCGTCTGCTTAGTTCTTAGTTCATACATAATAGGAACATTGAAAGCACCAACGTCCAGTTGAAGATAGATAATAAGTTC